TTTGATTTTTTTTGCACCCTCAGATTCCAGATTTTCAAATAGTTGTATCTCGGCCAAATATTGTCCTATCCTAACAAACCATTCATCAATGGAAATCCTAATCATTCAGCTTTCGGATGATGTATAAATCTCAATTTCGAAAAAATTGACCCTTATGACTGGTTTTGTGGTCCAGGGTCACTATTGCTATTAGTTTTGTCCATAACAATCTTGTGATGTGTTATACTGTAAGTGAAATGATAGATACATCTTACTTTAAGGATGACAGTACTTTTAGTCTGGATGTTTTCTTGAAAAATGACTCTGCAGGTGAGGTTAGTATTGTGATGTTCAAGCTTAGGATGGAAAGTCAATGTTGAAAACTCGTCATCCCGGCCAATCACACGAAAGATTGGCCTTTTAACTTCATCAGGCTCAATCCCTGTCCACACAATACTTGTTGTGTGATTCATGCAAATCCCCTGGAACACTGCATGATATCTCGGCTTTCTCTCCTTCTGTGAGCAGTGGGACGTTTATTGTTGGCTTCTGGGTGAGTTCTTAAAACACAATGTTTTATTGAAATCAGAATTTCTAGAATTAAACATTCTAATATTCTATCATTTTAAATAGTTTTATGCACACCTATTATCTTGCTTATACACTGGTCACATGGACAAGGTAAAACTGCTGTTGATGTTTGCAGCACAAAATTTGACTTAACAAACATAGCCTAATGCTTAATTTCCATTAGTTATTTTATCTACAGGTGAGTAGATCTAAAATTTGGAAGTAAAATAAAGTAGCGCAGTATGATTATATAAATTTGATCAGAACTGAGTATTCAAACAGCCCATGGTATAAATTTGTGTGATTTCTATTAAAAAGGCTTATATACAAACATCGTTAACGCATGCGATTAATTTTACAATCCTTAATGCCTTAAAATAATTTAACGCAAAATTACTAAAGCACAATTTCTATTCTAACCCTTTAACCCAATTTTGCTTCTCTGCTTGCGATTAGATCATTTTAAGCCGCTAAACTCCGGGAATGTTTTCAGTCCAATGATCCAGTAAGCGAATGCATTCAAACAATCCGTCCAAAACAGCGCTAATATAAAGGAAACCAGGATGATTACATCAGAGATTGCAGAGAGAACAGAGACTCACGTTGCGTTTTAAGTGAATTATTCATTCCAGTGTTTCGCTTTAAAACACGAGCGCTGTCATATTCTGTAATTGTCTCTGAAGAGCGCGGGCCCTCACACGTCACGTCGCGCTGTGTGAAGTACAGACTGAACAGAATGTCAACACATATCCCACCGCTGTATGGCCAGATGAGACGCAAACTACTGCATAACCAGTCAGTGTCTCGCTAGTAAAGTTTTGATGGATGAAGACTGCAATCAAGGTAAAGACGATTGCGGTGGCGTACAGGAGTCGTA